CTCCTCCTCCTCCTCCTCCTCCTCCTCCTCCTCCCCTCCTCCCCTCCTCCATTTCCTCTCCCCCCTCATTTTCCTCCGACCCCCCCCTCAGTGCGCTGGGGCGGAACGTGAAGGACTTCTGGGGCATCCGCCATCATGTAAGCATGAAGCGGCTTGAATCTCAGCACTTCGTAAACAGGCCGCGGGCTATTCTGTCGAGATGCTCGCGCATGGCAGCGTGAAGGGGAGGGTTCCCGCTCGGGAGGCCCTTGACGAGGACGAATCGCTCCAGAGCGGTCCGGAGCTCTCTCCGAGCTTTCCAGGACGCTCTCGAACCGCCACGGCGCCTGTGATGGGCCGATGTTCCACCACCGCTACCAGAAGGTAGGAGACGGAGGAGAAGGAGGAGGAGGAGGAGGAGGAAGAGGAGGAGGAGTACCTGCCCAGCCTTCCTTCTCCCCCGTCCTACATATGGTAGTGGTGGTGGAAACTTCGCCCATCAATCTATCCCGCCTCGGGAAGGAAAGAGGTCTTCGGGCTGCTCGCCGTTTTTCAGGCCGCTCTGAAGGCCGATTCTGGGCCCAGGGGCGGTGAAGAGCGGCGGAGGACGAGAGGCTCGTCCCCGCAGAAGGCGCCAGGGGGTCCGGGGCCCGTTTGCCACAGGGCCATTCTTCCCGAGTGCCACGGGGAGGAGGACAGGGAGGGGAGGGAGGGACAGAAAAAAGGCAATGGGAGGAGGAAAGGGAGGGAGGAGGAGAGGGAGGAGGAGAGGGAGGAGGAGGGGAGGAGGAAAGGGAGGGGAGGAGGAAAGGGAGGGGAGAGAGGGACAGAAAAAAGGGCAACGGCGGTGGGATGGGGAGGGGAGAGGGGGCTGGATTGCCTCTTGAAGGGAAGGGGGACCAGGGCAGCAGGAGGCGTGGGGGACGACGGAATCGGGGAAGGTGAGAGTGATGCTGCTTACGAGTATGATGATCAGTGATAATGCTAATGATGACGATAATCATAATACTACTGATGATGATGATGATGATGATGATGATGATGAGGAGGAGGAGGGGAGGAGGAGGAGGAGGAGGAAGGAGGAGGAGGAGGAGGAGGAGGAGGAGGGGGAAGGAGGGAGGAGGAGGAGGAGGAGGAGGAGGAGGAGGAGGAGGAGAGGGAGGTGAGTAGGGGATCAGGAAGAGGGGATGGTGCTGGTCACTGTGCGAGGGACACAGGACCCGAGCAGAGCAACTCGCACCGCGTCAACGACCTCGAAGCAGACGAGGCGCGCTTACCCAGAACGAGCTTTCTGTCCGCAAAGGCCGTCTTTGAACCCGCGCTCCCTGGTGGGTCCAGCCTCTCTGGCCTGCCGTATTTCAGGACTGCCATTGCGGCAATACAAAGGGGAGATGGATGATGATGATGCTGCTGATGATGATGCTGCTGATGATGATGCTGATGATGCTGATGATGCTGATGATGATGTTGGTGGTGGTTCTGATGATGGTGATGGATAAGGTGATGCTGCTGATAATGATGATGGTGGCGGTGATGATTTTGAGGATGAGGAGGAGAAGCAGGAGGAGGAGGAGGTGGAAGAGGAGGATGAGAAGGAAGAGGAGAAGGAGCAGGAGAAGGAGAAGGATGAACAGGTGGCGTCAGGTGGAAGAGGTGGACTGCGAACGAAGTGTTGGAACACAGAGGCGGTTCCTAATGATAACGACGATCGGAGAGGAGGAATAGTGGGCTTACAACCAGGGAAACGGGGACGAGTTTAACGATTCTAGGGATGACTGTGAGGATAATGGCGGCCATGCCGACCACGGTAGGAGGATGATGTGATGATGGTGGTGTGACAATGATGATAACTGTTGCTGCTGATGATGATGATGGTGATACTGATGATACTGACGATGCTGGTGATGATGCTGCAGATGCTGATGCCGATGCTGCTGTTGCTGCTGATGCTGACGCTGATGACGAACATGCTGATTATGATGCTGATGCTGGTGATGATGATGATGCTTATAATGGTGATGCTTATGAGGATGAGGATGATGATGGTGATGATGCGTATGATGATGATGCCGACGATGATGATGACTATGATGATGGCGATGATGACGATGATGGGGATGCTGGTGACGATGATGGTGGTGATGCTGATGATGATGATGATGATGATGATGATGATGATGATGATGATGATGATGACTATGCTGATGCTGACGATGCTGCTGATGATGATGTTGATGATGATGCTGCTGATGGTGCTGCTGCTGCTGATGATGCCGAGGAGGAGGAGGAGGAGAAGGAGGAGAAGGAGGAGGAGGATACAGTGATGTGGGTTCTGATGATGATGCGAAGCACGGGGAGGCGGTGGTGGGAAAGGGCCATGAGGCGGAGGGGGATCGGGGAGGATGATAAAAGACCAAGGACACAGACGACGATGACGACGAGGTTCGTCGGTCCATCTTGCCTTCCTGCCGCCGGGGTGCGCGACGTGAGAAAACGGGGTCGACTGCGCGGACATTGCTGTGCAAGGTCCGCGCGTGAGCCCTCCTCTTCTCGATGCGGCGTGCCGTGCGGGCACCCCGCGGCAAGCCGCGGCGCAATGCCGCTATGCCCTCTCGCGCAAGACCCCTCCTCCTCCTCCTCCTCCTCCTCCTCCTCCTCCTCCTCCTCCTCCTCCTCCCCCTCCTCCTCCTCCCCCTCCTCCCCCTCCTCCCCCTCCTCCCCCTCCTTCTTTCCTTCGTCGCCCAGGTGATGGAGCGAGCCCTGGAGCGGGACGGCATCCTGGAGGGCCAGGGCTCAGGAGGCCACCGGCGGAGCCGCGGCCGCCTGCCGAGGTCGTGGGCGAAGCGCCGTCGCCGTCGCTGCCGCTGCCGTGGCCACTGGCCAGCGAGGGGGCGGTGGGAGCCGGAAGGGGACAGACACTCAGAGCTAACTCGGGTTCGTTTTTCGGGAATCCGAACCCGAGTTACCCCGGACCCGAGTTACCCGGGATCACTCGGGCGTCCAGAGCCCCAAAATCATCAAGGGGTAACTCGGGTCAGGGCTAACTCGGGTTCGTTTTACGGGAATCCGAACCCGAGTTACCCCGGACCCGAGTTACCCCGGATCACTCGGGCGCTCAAGGCACACATCGCGCGCACGCTATCTCAGGAGGGGAAGACGCACACAGGCACAATGAGTCATCGCTTGCCCAGAAAATCTGGGAAACTACGGGAGGTGGGGGGGAAGACAAGGACCCAGAAGCCATGGGAAAAGATGGGGAATCCGGTCATTTGTGCTCATTTGTTCGTGTGTCCCAGGGCCCCTTCACTATCCACTTCCCACTCCCCAGGCTTCCACGTCCCGAGCTGTTCGCAGCCTCCCGCCCCGCGGAGCGGCGCGACACGTGACCTCGCCAGGGCCGCCGCAGCGACGCGCGCAGCAAAGGAGCTCCCGACGGTGGAGCTGCCAGCCTCTGGGAGCCTCCGGCAGCGCCGGGGGGAAGGGAAGCGGGAGCTGGAGCAGCAGCGGCGGAGCTCTCTGCCCTCCCGCTCCCCTCTGTTCCCCCTCGCCCTCCTCGCCCTGGCTATGGCAACGTCCCGGCGGGCCCGAGGGACCACCGCTGTGTGCAGCGCTTCCCTGCGTCGCTCGCGCACACCGACGTTTATAAGTGTTGCTGAGCTGCCCGTGACGCGCCCGCTCCTCCCGGCACGCCTCGGCCTCGCCACCCCAAGGCGGCTCCCGTCCTGCAGGCCCTCGCGCGCCTCGCCTGCACACCTCGCCGCCAGGGAGCCCCGGAGGTCCGACGCCGCGAGCTGTATCTGCGGCAGCTGGAGAGCCCTGCAGCGCGAGCCTGTGCCAAGAGGCACCCTGCTTGCCTCCCATGGTGCCCTGGGTGTCTTGGGTGTCGAGGGCCCTGCTATGGAGAGCGTGGCGCTCCCACACCAGAAGTCAGTGGACGTCCCGGGGTGTCAGGGGTGGGTTTCCCGTGGAGGGTTTCTTGTGGTCGGGCTCCTACTGTAGGCCCCCTTCTTTCCGCGGCATCTTTGGAGCCCGATCGATCCGTGAGGGTCCCCCCGGCCCGACGTTGGGCGAGATCGCCTGGTGTGAAGAAAGGGCATCTCGCCGATCGCCTTGCACTTGCCGTGCACGAATGGGGCCCTGAGTCAGGAAGACAGTTACCGGGTTGGGAGGAGAGGGTTGGGAGAAATGAGGATACGGTAGGTTCGCGTCGTGTCGACCGGCGGCGACCCCGCCGCCGACGTTCAACGTTGAACGCCGACGGCGGCCCAGAATCTGTCGATGTTGAACGATTGGACGTTGCGGAGACGGCCGATCGTTCAAGGTTGAACGATCCCTGCGGTGTCAAAAACCAACGCTGGGGTCGGCACGACACGAACCTGCCGTATCATTACCCGTAGGCGGCCGAAGCTGTCGTTCATGGCATCAAGATGCTATTGCTCATATCCTTCATCCTCCCAGCCCCTCCCTCCCAACACGGTTATTGCTCTCCTCGCCGAGGGAAGCCCAGAGATCCGACGCCGTGTTTTTTTTCAGTACGCGGTCCCCAGAAGTCTCGACCCATTCCCCAGGACCCGCTGTTCATCCTGTGTCGTGTTTTGACGGTCCTGGGGCCCGGCGAGGGCCCCCAGAGGCCGAAAGCAGTGAAAAACCGCCATCGTGATTCTTCCGATGCGTTGGATCCCTGGGAGCGGGCCCTACAGACCCCGGGGGCCTCCCCCAGCTCACCAGCTCCTCGCCGCGAGGATTAGGTCGGGCCTGTCCCTCTACAGGGGGAATGTCCAAAAATGGTCAAACAATAGTCTTGGGACGATTTTTTGGTTACCATTTGTGAATATGTTAGGGTAGGTTTTGACTATCTTTTATTTTTCGCCCAAAATCGGCCTGTAGGGTGACAGGCCCGATTCAACGCGAGGAGTCTCGTGCACGCCCGCGGGCCCCTCGCGAGGGCCCCGCGGGCCCGAAGGCGGCGAGCGACCCCCGGAGGCCCGCTGCCCTCGTGCTGCTTGCTTGCGGCTCCTGGGACGTTGCGCTCAGCGTCGGCGGCGTGGTCGAACGCTGGCCTGCTCCTCCTGCTCCTCCTCCACCTCCTCCTCCTCCTCCTCCTCCTCCTCCTCCTCCTCCTCCTCCCCCTCCTGCTTCCCTCCTCCTCCTCCTCCTCCTCCTCCCCCTCCTCCTCCTCCTCCTCCTCTTCCTCCTCCTCCTCCTCCTCCTTGGGCTAGCGGAGGAGGAGGAGGAGGAGGCGGAGGAGGAGGAGGAGGGGGAAGAGCAGGAGGAGGAGCAGCCTACAGTCAAGACGCTGAAATAAGGAACAGTTTGAGTTCGGAAGGGGCTCGAGGTTCCTTAGGTTTCTCCAGTGCCGTTCCTCCTGCCCTCCTTGGGCACGGAGGCGCTTACAGGGCCAAGAAGGGGCTTCGTTCCTTATTCAGCGTTTCTTCTTTCAGCGGCCCGACTGTACTCTTGGCATCGTCGCGTCCACTCCAGCTCCATCCCGCCGAATCCCGCGATCTTTTTCACCGCGCTTGCTCACTGGCCTCACAGTCGGGCCCCCTCCGGCCCCATCGCCCCTCACTCGGGCTTGCAAGCCCTGGATCGCTCTTGCGAAGACCTCCCAGAAGTTGCCTCCTGAAGGCTGGCGCACGCCTGCTGCCCTTTCCCAGCGCCGCCTACGATGAAGTCGGGCCTGTCCCCCTACAGGGGGGATATCCCGAAATAGTCTCCGGACGAGTTGTTGACCATTCTTAGGTATTTGGGGGTATTTTTGGGAGGTATTTTTTTGGTTGCTTCGTCCAGCATCCGCCTGTAGGGGGACACGCCCGACCTAAGCCTACGATCCGATTCGATCCGGTTCGATGCGCCGGCTGGGGCCGCGCTTGCGCTTCGATGCGACCTGGCTCGATGCGCTTCGATGCGACCTGCGCCGCCGGACCCAGAGCGAGGAGGATGAGGAAAAGGAGGAGAAGCAGGAGGAGGAGGAGGAGGAGGAGGAGGAGGAGGAGGAGGAGCAGGAGCAGAAGCAGGAGCAGGAGCAGGAAAAGGAGCAGGAGGAGGAGCAGGAGGCGGATGAGGATGAGGAGGATGAGGAGGATGAGGATGAGGAGGAGGAGGAGGAGGAGGAGGAGGAGGAGGAGGAGGAGGAGGAGGAGGAGGAGGAGGAGGAGGAGGAGGAAAGGGGGGGCCAAACAGAGGGCCGGGCGCGGAGCGCCTCTGTCGGCCCGAGTCGTGGGCGATGGGATCCGTTGCCGATCCGCTCCGATGTCGTTGCTCGGCCCAGCGCGGGCCTGCCTCAGCCTTTCCGCTGCTCGGTCCAGCTCGGTCCAGCTCGGTCCACTGCTCGGTCCAGCTCGGTCCAGCTCCGATGCCACTGCTCGGTTCAGCTCGGGCCTGCCTCAGCCTTTCCACTGCCTCCCGTCACTGCTCGGCCCAGCTCGCTCCCCTCTGCTTTTCCTGCGCCCAGCCTCATGAGGTTCCAGCCTGCTGTAGCCTGGGCCACCAGGAAGAATGTCGAGCATCAAGAGAGTCCGAAACTTGGAGGGCTTGGGCGTGTCGGGCCCTGGGAGGCGATACTCGTTCGACACTGTTTTGATATTTTTCTGGGTTCTCGAATTTTTTGTTGGGATATGGTCCTTAAATACGATGGGAGCAACATACGTCCAGCCGCCCCGACCAGACTTTTTTGTCAGCGGCGAGGCGGCGAATACTCCGCTCCAGCGAGAAGCTAGAAAAGGAGCACTGACTAGCGAATCGGCCGGCGGCGAAAGAGGGGGGGGGGGGACGGCCGAGAGGAGGAGGGGCGCTCAGGCGTCGAAGAGCTCGACGATGAGCAGCCAGGGGGGGGCAGCAGCAGCCGGGCGCGCAGGGCCAGAGCGCGGTGGGCGGCCGTGTGGCAAACCACGGTGGCCTGGGTGGCGGGAGGGCGGCCGCACCGGTCAGACATGCGATGTTCTCGATGGGCCCGTTCTCCAACACCACCACCATCAGTTGGAGGGGGAGAGTGGTGGAGGATGGGGAAGAAGAAGAGGAAGAAGAAGAAGAAAAATAATACTAAGGATAATGCTAAGAAGAGGATGAGGAGGAGGAGGAGGAGGAGGAGGAGGAGGAGGAGGAGGAGGACGCGGAGGAGGAGGAGGAGGAGGAGGAGGAAGAAGAAGAAGAAGAAGAATAAGAAGACTAAGAAGAATAATAATAAGAAGAATAATAAGAAGAACACTAAGAATAATAATAATAACAAGAAGACGAAGAAGAATAATACTAAGAATAATAATACTAAAAATAAGAAGAAGAAGAAGAAGAATAATAAGAAGAACAATAATAATAATACTAATAATAATAATAAGAAGACGAATAAGAAGAAGAATAAGAAGACGAATAATAATAATAATAATAATAATAATAAGAATAATAATAATACTAATAAGAATAATAATAAGAAGAAGAAGAAGAAGAGGAGGAGGAGGAGGAGGAGGAGGAGGAGGAGGAGGACCCCTCCCCCTACTACTCATGGTGGTGGTGTTGGGAAACCAGCCCACCAGCTCTGATGTTTACGGTGCCCTCGGGAGTCTCGACCCTCTCCGCGGGGCCGTGTTTTTCTCATCCCGGGTCGTCCTTTGACGGCCCCTCCCTGCGGCGAGGGTCCCCCCGGGGCCGAGAACAGCCACAGAGCTCCCGTCGTGAAGCTTTACCCCGACCTGCGTATGTCTGGCCCAGACATGTTCGCGTCGTAGGAAATCAGGACAAGAGGTTGTTGGCTAATTTCGGCCTCGGGGGGCCCTCGCCGGGCCTCGGGAGCGTCAAACAATGATTCAGGACGAAAAACCGTTCCCGGGGAAGGTGTCGGGACTTCCAGGGACGCCGTCTTGAAAAAATCTGGACTTCGCATGTCGGGGGGGTCCCCCTTCCCGCCAAATTTTCTTCGAGGCACGGGCCCCCGACCTCTTGCCTGTGGGGCTGGCTTTTCCTCCCGAGTCGTATAAGAGCCCCGAGGGGCCGAGACAACGATGCTGCACCTGCGCCGCGATTCTTGCGAGACGCCGGATGTCTGGGCTGGAGGAGGAGGAAGAGGAGGACGAGGAGGAAAAGGAAAAGGAAAAGGAGGGGGAGGATGAGGATGGACGGGGATTGAGGAGGAGGAGGAGGAGGAGGAGGAGGAGGAGGAGGGGGAGGAGGAGGAGGAGGAGGAGGAGGGGAGGAGGAGGAGGAGGAGGAGAAGGAGGAGGAGAAGGAGGAGGAGGAGGATGAGGAGGAGGACGAGGACCCCTCCAACAGAAGCATGTCTTTGCCTGCCTCTCCTGCGCCTGGCCGCCCCGACTGTCGAGGCGGCGCTGGCGGGGCGGAGGGCGCCGCGGCGCCGCTGCGGCCCTCGCGCTCGCAGCTGGCATCGCTCGCCGGCCTGGTGAAGCGTGGCGAGTGGCCGCTGGCGGTCGCGGGCCGCGGCGACGCCGTCGTCGACGGCGACGCCGCCGTCGTCGTCGTCGTCTGAGGTTCCCTGAGATCCTGGCCTTGCAATTTTCGCACCAGGCGTTGTCGCCCAATGTCGGGCCCTGGGGCCCTCACAGATCGATCCGGCCCGGAAAATGACGCAGAAAGATGGGTCCGGGGCTGCGATCGTTTTTTTTTCTCCCCAAATCCTAAGTGGGGTTCTTGTTTTCTCTGCACACCCTCCGCGCAGGATCTCTCCTCCTCCTCCGCCTCTTCCTCCTCCTCCTCCTCCTCCTCCTCCTCCCTCTCCTCTCACTCTCCTCTTTCTCGACCTCCTCCTCCCCATCATCACCATCCTCCTCCTCTCCTCCTCCTCTCCTCCTCATCATCTCATATCATCATTATCATCATCATCATCATCATCATCATCATCATCATCATCATCATCATCATCATCATCATCATCATCATCATCATCTTCATCTCCATCTTCATCGTCATTTTCATCATCATCACCATCATCATCACCATCATCATCATCATCATCATCATCATCATCATCATCATCATCATCATCATCATCATCATCATCATCTTCATGGTCATCTTCATCATCATCATCATCATCCTCAGAACCACCACCACCATCACCATCGTCATCATCATCATCATCAACAACAACATCATCATCATCGCACTCACCACCACTCATCGTCATCATGACTCACCCACCCGCCCACCCACCCACCCACTCACTCACTCACCCACTCACTCACTCATCACCGTCACTCGCTTATGCCACCTGAGGAAGTCTCAGGCGGGAGCCCCCTCCCTATGGGTCCCGCACTTCATGTTGGTAATCCGATCGGGTCATCGGCAACCTGTAACTGTCACCATTTTGGGGCTCCCCAGGCTTGAATGTGGAGGAAGTATCAAGCGGGAGCCTCGTCTGTGAGTGAACTGTGAGGAAGTCTCAGGCGGGAGCCCCCTCCCTATGGGTCCCGTTCGGACCGCGGCGGCGACGGCGCCGAGGAAAATCGATTTGCTTGCCCCGACCAGGGGGAAGGGGAGGAGCGCGCGTAGAAAAAGCAGGGGAAGGACGAGGACGGGGAAGGGGTAGGGATGGGGTGATGATGAGTAGGAAGTGGAGAAGCAGCAGGAGGAGGAGGAGGAGGAGGAGGAGGAGGAGAAATAGCATGAGGGGGAGTAGGTGAGGGCAGAACGGCGGGCGAGAGGAGAGTGTCCGTCAGGGCGAAGAGGAAAAGGGTAAGGGCAAGCTAAACATATTATCATGCGGGGTCCTTCCGTCGGAGTATTTTTTTGTGTTTTTTTTTATGTTGCATTTTTTGTTGCAACGTCGGATCTCAGGGTTCGGTGTTCGAGATTCCAGGGCGTTTGCGCCAGGTTCAGGAGGAACAAAAGCACACACAGGCACACTGAATCGTCGACTCCCAGGAACATATTCGAAAATATGGGAAGTGGGGGGGACGACAAAACCGAGAAAATATGGGAACATGTGTTCGATGTTTCCGGGCTTTTGCGCCAGGTTCAGGAGAAAAAACACACACAGAGACAATGAATCGTCGACTCCCAGGACGATCTGGGGGAAAAGATGGGAAGTGGGGGGGAAGACAAAAGCCCAGAAAACATAGGAAAACATAGGGGCATCCGGTTATTTGTGTGTATTTGCTCGCGTGCCCCAGGGCCCCTCCACAGGTCCCCGCGGAGTTCCGGCTTCGGGGTGCTTTCCAGCGGGCGCGCCTCGCCGAGGGCGTTCCGGGGGGGCGTTCCCAGGCCGCCCCGGGCGGCCGCCGAAGAGAGCCGCGTGATGACGCGAACGCCAGGCTTAAGTCGGGCCTGTCCCTCTACAGGGGGAACATTTAAAATAGTCTGGGGATTATTTTGGGGGCATTTTTTCCCCATTTTGGAGTATGTTTCGGATATCTTTTACTTTTCGTCGAAAATCCCCCTGTAGGGGACACGCCCGACTTAACACCAGGGGGGGTGCCAGCGGAGGGTAGGATGCCGATGCTGCTGCCCTTGCCTTGTGCTCGCCTGGCTGGGCCTGCTGGGAGGCCCCCGCCGCCACGGCTGGATTCGCCTCGAAGTGCTGGTCGGAATGCACCCCAGGGAGAGGTCTATGGAGCAACGGACGGCGAGGGCACCGCCGTCGCTCCGCGGGCTGAGCTGCGCCAGCGCCGCCGCGCCGCCCGCCGCGCCGCCGCCGCCCCGCCCCCGCGGCGGCTCCGCCGGCCCGAGCTGCGCCGCCGCCGCCGTGCCGCTGCCGCCGCCTCCCCGCGCCTGGCGCCGGGAAGGTCGAGTCCGGCGGCAGTTTCGAGGCCATCAGCCCGCCGCGTGTTCCCGCTGCCGCCGTCGTCGCCGCCGCCGTCTTCGTCTTCGTCTTCGTCTTCGTCGTCGTCTTCGTCGTCGTCGTCGTCGTCGTCGTCGTCGTCGTCGTCGTCGTCGTTGTCGAGGTCGTCGTCGTCGTCGTCGTCGTCGTCGTCGTCGTCGATGTCAAATTCGGAGGGTTGGCACCCCTCAGCCGAAGCAGCCTGGCCTCTCGAGGCTCCGCCGCGTCCTAGTCCGCAACCTTCTGCTATCCGTTCTCCCCGTCTTCCCTCCCGAGTGGCCAGCAGCTCTACGAGCACCACGTCAAGATCCCGTGGATTGCGCGTGGCCGATTGAACCAGTAAGCGCCCGCGGCGGTGCCTCCTCCTCTTCCTCCGTCTCCTCCTCCTCCTCCTTCTCCTCCTCCCCTACGCTGGGCTCCTCCTCCTTCTCCTCCTCCTCCTCCTCGTCCTCCCCCCATCCGTCCTCCCTCCTTCTCCTACCCCTCCCAAGAGGCCAAACCGATTTAGGGCTGATTGACGGCCCGCCCCCAGTTGGGTCCTTCTTCGGGGAAGCGTGTGTTGTTCTATCGGGGCCTGGGACGACAGACCCACTTTCCAGTTTATACTTGTAGGCACTCAGACCTCGAGCTTGTTTGATGGAGCCGGGAGTGGTAAGAATTTTGCCGCTACGTGGCGAGGGCCTGCGTATCCTTTTTTGTTTCGAGGGGGAGCTTCGTGGGCTTGCCATATCCGTGGGGTTGCGCCATACCAGCTCCACCAGCTTCGCGCGATCGCTGCTGAAGTTTGGGGGTTACTTCAGGCTGGTATTGCCGTTGTTTCAAGTTTCTGTTGGCGGGGGATTGGTCGAACATTCTGAAGCAATCGAACTACTGAACGCCGCATTTGTTCAACTCGGTAGTGGCCTTTGGCAAAAGGGCCGCACGACGATATCAAGCAGACTTCGGGCAAGTGGGTGGGTTTGAAGAGTGCTGGCGATTATAAGCGTGATGATGCGGAGGATGCGGATGATGGTGCCGTTGCCGATAACTAGGATTCGGATGCTGATGATGTGGATGATGGTGATGATGACGAGTATGATGATGTTGATACTGACGATGAGGGTGTTGATGATGATGATGCTGACTGATGATGGTTATGTTTATGAGTATGTTGATGGTGCTGAGGATGACGATGCTGCTGATGCTGCTGATGATGGTGCGGATGAGGGTTACGATGATGCTGCTGATGATGCTGATGGTGATGATGCCGATGCTGCTGCTGATGAAGATGCTGATGACGAGGATGATGCTGATGACGATGCTGCTGATGATGATGCAGGTGATGCTGACGATGATGCCGTTGAGGATGATGATGCTGATGATGCCGATGATGACGATGAGGCTGATAATGACGACACTGACGATGAGGATGCTGATGGTGATGCTGATGATGAGAATGGTGATCATGCGGATGACCCTGCTGATGTTTGTATATGGTGGTGCTGGAAATAATGATGATTATGCTGATGATGGTGATGCTGATTATGCTGATGATCATAATGATGCTGATGCTGATGCTGATGCTGATGATGCAGATGATGATGATGACGATGCTCCTGTCGCTGGGGTTGCTGCTGCTGCTGATGTTGACGATGATACGGGTGACGATAATACTGATAATGCTGTTGATGATGCTGGTGATGAGCATGCTGATGCCGCTGATGTTTAGAATGGCACTAGTAACAACAATGATGCTGATGATGATGACGGTGATGCTGCTGATGCTGTTGCTGCTGATGATGATGATGATGATGATGATGATGATGATGATGATGATGATAATGATGCTTACGTCGCTGGTGATGTTGGTGTTGCTGCTGATGATGCTGCTGACGATGCTAATCATGATGCTGATGCTGCTGATGATGGTGGCGATGAGGGTGATGATAATGATGCTGCTGATTGTGCAGCTGATGATAATATTGCTGACGGTGCTGTTACTGATGATGATTACGACGACGATGCTGGTGATGATGATACTTAGGATGACGATGATGCTGATGATGATGATGATGGTGATGCTGATGTTGACGATGAGGATGGTGAACGTGCTGATGGTGCAGCTGATGATGATATTGCTGACGGTGCTGTTACTGATGATGATGGCGACGATGCTGATGATGATTATGATGCTGATGGTGATGATGCTGATGATGGTGATGATGACGATGCTGATGATGATGATGATGTTGCTGCTGATGATGATGACGATGATAGTACTGATGATGCTGCTGACGATGATGATGGTGATGCTATTGAGGAAAGCGATTTTGATTGTGATTCTGGCGATGATGGTGATGGTACTGATGACGATGATGGTGGTGATGAGCATGACGATGATGGTGATGATGGTGATGATGACGATGATGGTGATGCTGCTGGGGAGGAGGATGACGATGTTGATGACGGTGAGGATGATGATGACTAGGGTGAACTGCAGTAGGAGCAGGGAGGAACACTGCGGAGGGGTGAGCTGACAACGGACATGGCAACAGCTACAAGGGCATTTGTCACAGGCAGGGCACGAGGAGGCGCAGGAGCGATGAGGACCGAGGAGGAGGAGGACCACGACGACGACGACTTCGTCCACGACGTCGACGACGACGGCGATGACGAAGCATCGACGACGACATCGACGACGACGACAGCCACGACGACGGCGACGACGACGACGACGACGACGACGACGACGACGAAGAAGCGGCGACGACGAAGCAGCGGCGACGAGGGCGCTGGCGTCCGACAGGTCCTGGCCGCCTCCGTGAACCTGCGCCTGGCGCGCGTGCTCGCGCTGCTCGCGGCGGCCCCGGGGGGGAGGTCGGTGGCGGCGGTGGGGGTGTGCTGCCGCCGGGCCATGGCGCCGGGCGGTGGTGGGGGCTTGGCCGGCGCCCCTGCCGGGCGGGGCCAGCGCGAGAGCGAGCGAGGGGAGGAGGAGGAGGAGGAGGAGGAGGAGGAGGAGGAGGAGGAGGAGGAGGAGGAGGAGGAGGAGGAGGAGGAGGAGGAGGAGGAGGAGGAGGAGGAGGGAGGAGGAGGAGGAGGAGGAGGAGCAACAATAAGGAGGAGGAGGAGGAGGAGGAGGAGGAGGAGGAGGAGGACCATGTTGGTGGATGTGAGGCAGAGAGAGGAGTTGGTGTTGGGTGGTGTCGCACTGCGGTGCCCAGGCTGGCCGTGTTTTACCGCCCGGCAGGCGCCTACTCTGTTTCTCTCATCTTCGCCATGCTCTTCAACCGTCTTTTCCCGCGTAGCCAGCCAGGTGATGTTGCTTTAGTTTTTCGCCACATCGTTTATGTTATTTGATTATTAATCGCTTCGCTCATTCCGCCGGCCCATACAGTCTCATGTCTGCCGTTTGCCCGAGGGCCTGGTGTCAATGCGGCGCCTTGGGGGTTCCTGGGGCCGCTTGGGGGACTCCTGGGGCGCTCGGGGGGGCATTTGGGGGGCCTCCTGGGGCCGCTTGGGGGACTCTTGGGGGCCTCCTGAGGGCCTCGTGGGGGCCTCTTGGGGCCTCTTAGGGGCCTCGTAGGGGCTTCTTAGGGCCGAGGGCTCGAAATGTTGTTTCGTGTTCCCTCTCTGGGGCCCCTTTGGGGGCGTTCTTGGGGCCCTCTTGGACCGTCTTGGAGGCTTCTTGGGCCGTCTTCGAGCCCTCTTGGGCCATCTTGGGGCCCTCTTGGGGGCCTCTTGGGCCCTCTTGGGGCGATCTTGGGGGCCTCTTGGGCCGTCTTGGGGCGTCGGGAAGCCGAAAAGGTGGAAGCTCCAAAATCTCTCAAAAACCTAAGGAAAACAATGAATTTTGCCTCCGGGGGCCCTCTTGGGAGTGCTCTTGGAGGCCTCTTGGGGCGTCTGGGGGCTATCTTGGGCGTCTTGGAGCGATCTTGTGGCATGTCGGACCCCTCGTGTACCATCTTGGGGGCCTCTTGGGGGCCTCTTGGCCTTTCTTGGGGTTCTCGGGGGCGTCTCGGAGCCCTGTTGGTGCGCTCATGGAGCGCTCCTGGAGCGCTCTGGGGGAGTCTCCCGGGGGTCGGTCGGGGATCGCCCCGGGTACTTGTCGTCCGGGGACCCCCAGGGGCCGCCCCGCGCGCGCGAACTAGAGAATTGTTAACCAGTTACCGGAGATCTTAGCACGCCTCTGGCCCGTTGGGCCGGCGAATTTGGCACAGGGTGTCTAAGCTCCGACCATGTTATTTTCCACACATTCCATCAGCCAGCGCGCCCCTCCGCCCCGACCCCTTTATTCCGGCAAGGCACACCCCTCCGCCCCGACCCCTTGACCCCGGCACGGCACACCCCCTCCGCATCCCCCACAACCACCAGCCAGCGCGCCCCTCCGCCCCGCACGGCACACCCCTCCGCCCCGACCCATTTATCTCGGCACGACACACCGCCTCCGCATCCCCCCACCCACCAGCCAGCGCGCCCCTCCGCCCCGACCCTTTTTTTTATCTCGGCACGACACACCCCTCCGCGCCGACTCCTTTACTTCTTCACGGCACACCCCCTCCGCATCCCCCCCCGCCCACCAGCCAGCGCGCCTTCCGCCCCGACACAAAATATTTCGGCACGGCACACCCGTCCGCCCCGACCCCTTTTTACTTCGGCACGGCGCACCCCCTCCGCATCCCCCCCGCCATCAGCCAGCGCGTCCCGACCCCCGACCCTTAGCCGCCCCCCCCTTTTATTTCGGCACGGCACAACGCTTTCGCATCCCCCACCCACCAGCCAGCGCGCGCCCTCCGCCCCGACCCCTTTATTTCGGCACGGCCCCCCCCCCCCCACCCCCCACCCACCAGCCAGCGCGCCCCCTTCGCCCCGACCCCTTTATTCGGCAGGCCCCCCCCCCGCGCGCCCCTCCGCCCCGACCCTTGTTATTTCGGCACGGCACACCCGTCCGCTTCGTTTTTTTCGGCACGGCACACCCCTCCACATCCCCCCACCCACCAGCCAGTGCGCCCCTCCGCCCCGACCCTTTATTTCGGTACGGCACACCCCTCCGCCCCGACCCCTTTATTTCGGCACGGCACACCCCCTCCGCATTCCCCCCCGCCCATCAGCCAGCGCACCCCTCCGCCCCCGACCTTTTTTTTCGGCGCGGCACACCCGTTCCGCCCCGACCCCTTTATTTCGGCACGCCCCCCCCCCCCCCCCCCGCATCCCCCCACCCACAGCCAGCGCGCCCCTCCGCCCCGACTCTTTTATTTCGGCACTGCCCCCCTCCCTCCCCGCATCACCCACCACCAGCCAACGCGCCCCCTCAGCCCGCGACTTCCCCTCTGCATCCCCCCCACCCATCAGCCAGTGCGCCCCTCCATTCCGACCCATTTATTACACCCCACCCCACCCACCTACTCACAAGCCAGTGCACCCCTCCGCCCCGACCCCTTGATTTCGGCACGATACACCCCTCCGACCCTCCCCATTCCTTGTTGTGCTGGAGCCATGGCACACGTGCCGCTTGTTTTTTCTACCACACAGACGCCACGCCACGATCGTCCGATCCAGGTTCGCGCAACGTCAAAAAGACGGAGGAAGGGGAGGATGACCAGTGTACAGCCAAGGCGCGTCAATGATGTGGCAATGCACTTTCCCTCCCAGTTCCTTCTTCGTGGGTTCCGAGAAGACTTTGTTTTCATTGCGGGATACGGCCCATTTGGAGGCAACCGTCTGACAATTTTCAGTCGTGCCAAACCGCTGCTCCTGGGACCTCAACGCCACAGATCAACGTGACTGGTGCTTCCTGGCAATCCCCAACCGTGCCAACGACATCTTTTGGGACTTTACTGCTGCTTCTGGTTAATCCGAAATCTCTCTAGCAAACCAGTCCTGGGATATCGGCCGTACGAACGCTTGGAATTGCTGCGCACTTACAAGACGCGCTAAGAGGAGATCCACATGTTGAAAACCATCCGCCCTCCGTCCGTGAAGGTGTCGCAAGCTTTTGAGGCGAATGTGCGTGGCGCTTGGGCGAGAGCCTTGTTGAGAACTCTGTGCCAAAGGTTTTTGAGACACGGTCGAGATAGTTTCCCCTGGTCGTCGTCACTGGGAAGTCGGTTGACGAGCACTTCTCGACAAACCCCCGAAGGTTAAAAGAGACAAGCCTCCCATAGGAATTGTGCAACCACATGGCCAACAGCTCGTGATGCTACATTGCGTGAGGCAGGTGAACCCATCCCCCAGCGTGGTGGATGCGCCGACCGCGAGGAACTCTGAGCGTGTGGTATGTCGCTCGAGCCAAACAGAAAAATTCGGTGTCTAGCCAGTTGGCTTTGCCAGCCGCGCTGCACGAATGGTGGCACCGAGAGCATTGCTTCCCGCACGAATCGATACAATGACTAGATTCTAACACAACGACCACCGGCATGGGGACCGGGAGGAGGAGCAACGGCAGGGGCAGCAGGGTGCCTGATCTTTTCCCTTTCATCTTTCACGCCGCTCGAGTGGCCCTCAAGAGCGTTTCCATGATCAAGCAAACCTCCGCCTCGGCCCCAAGAGCCCCGGCCAAGTTGTCGGCATGGGCGCTGAACAACTTAGCTGCCCGCCCGGCAATATGATTTACGAGCACGTCGCCTGCTTTGAAGTGGCCAGGAATACCCTTGGCACGCACCTTATCAGCCTCAAACTGATAAGGAGCTTTCATAGCGATTTCGCCACGGTGATTGTCCGTCGCCTGAATGGCTTCGCCCAGCCTCTTCCAGAGGTCCGCAGAGGGTCCCTGCGGGGCCCCGAAAACCTTATTCAAAAAGTTTCCAGAGAGCCCTTCCTGGTCAGTGATGTGGGATGTGGGGCCCTTAGTAGAATGTTCCACATCTGCCACGAAGCAGAATAGCTCCCCCCTGTGCACGGGCTGATGCGGGCCTTGAAGGGGCCCGTAAACAAAACGTTGAGGAGGGGCGTCGGCGAAGGTTGCCGAGGCGACAGTCATTCTAACACGACACAACCTAGGATAATGAGTGTCGGCCCCACCCGACGCGCCGCTCTAGATGAGGATGGGCGGCTCGCTGGGACCAGAACCGAAATGCGTCTCATGGAATTCGTCGTTCGAGTGACTCCGAATCCAGCACTCGCCGACGGGAGGGGGAACGCCTTCGAGCATGTGGTGAGGGATGGGACCACGCAGCCAATAGCGTTCCATGCTGTCGTCCTGGGCCAGAGTTCTGGGGGTGAGATCGGCCGAGGCGTGAACAGCAGGACTGCTTTCATCATTGCAGTGGCACCGCCAGAAGCGGTGCTTCGGCGTCTCTGGTCGACCTTTGCAGCTCCGACGCTATGCTGGTATATCGTACCCAACGGCCTGCTTCCCGGCGGCTGTCAATGCTCTTCCGACTACTGCCACGCAGTTCTGCCAACTTTCGGCCGTGGACTGCTATGCACCTGCCCGAGTTGATACACTTGGCATCGCTCGGACGTGTACATTTTTCGTTCGGCGAGGACAATCGAGGAGCATCCTTGATCATTTGGCGAAACACAGCACGCACGAAACCGACAGATGCACGGGAAACGGACGTCCGAGCGACGGCACATACGGGGATTTCCGGAGAGCGGCAGTGTTCACGCCTCGATCCATGCCGCTGCCGCAGAAGCCGTGGACGGCCTCCCTCCGCCTTGCTTAGCTTCGGCGATTCAGCGGACGTGTCGATCAGTTCGGATGCCTGGTCGTACACTTGAAACGTACATCCTTCGAAACTCCAGCAGCCGCAGCGAGGTCGCCGAGCATTGTTTGCAGACTTGCAGATCTGCTTGGACGACGCAGCCAACAATACATCATCGGCAGCACATGAATTGGAGAGCAAGGTTTACTCCGTGTCGCTGCCGCTGCTGGCAAG